TTGACTTGCCTTATCCTCTCCATCACTAGCTTCAGGTTCTCCAGATGTTCTTCATACGTCTTCCCAAAGATAATAACGTCATCTATGAAAACACAGCATATCCGCAGATTGTAGTCAGCTAGGCAGTCCTCCATCATTCTCTGGTAAGTGGCTGGGCTGTTGGTTAGACCAAACGGCATTCTGTTGTACTCAAAGAAACCCAATAGACCGACTGTGAAGGCTGTTCTTTCTTTGTGTGGTTCATAGATCTCAATCTGATGGTATCCTGACTTCATGTCTACAACGGAGTAGTAGGTCGATCCTGCCAAACAATCCAATAGTTCCTCTATTCTGGGAAGAGCGTAGCTATCTTTTTTCGTGGCCTGGTTAAGTTTCCTGTAGTCCACACATAGGCGTAGGCTTGAGTCTTTCTTCCTAACTAGTACCACATTGGAAGCAAAAGGACTATGTGATGGTCGAATAATCCCCATATCTAGTAGCTGTCTCAAATGTGCCCTGACTTCATCATATGCTGTTCGTGGTATGTGGCGATATCTCTCCTTGAATGGTTTGTCTTCTAAAAGGTCTATCCTGTGCTGTACTGTGTTGGTGTGACCCACATCATCATCCCTTTTGGAAAAGATATCCATGTAAGAACGGATAAGTGCACGTCCGTCTTCAAACTGTTCATCAGTAAGATCACTCTGCGTAAACTCCATTTTGTCCATAATAGCTTCTGTTTCATCATCTGATGATGCTGTCTGTGGTGATTCGATGGTTACTGTCTGCATTCACAAACTATAGCTCTTGGTGGTATACTGATGGTTCTGGTTGTTACGTTGGAAATTCTTATATTCACTGGTCCATCCTTTCGGTGTTGGCAGTTGATAAGTGTCGGTTCCATGTTTAAATCGTTGTAATTCTTGGCAAGTAATGATGACTGTAACATGGCTGGTGAATCATGGTACGGTATTTCTTTGTCTAGGTAGCCGGTTAATGTGATATATGAATTTGGTGGTACTGTTATAGACTTGATCTCTCCACTTCTGATAATTCCAAGACGGTTGCTGTTCTTCGTAAGTTGTTTCTCTGTAAGTATAATACATCTTTGTGCTAGGTACCATGGTGTAGTCAAGCTGCTTTCCTGTAAAAATCTATCTCCTATACTTACCTTTAGTGTATCTATGATGGTTGAAAGTGTGTTGGTTCCTAATAGCAGCGGTACCCGTTTGTTGTATCTACTGTCTGGTATAACTAGAAGTATACATGGGTAATCCTGATGTTGACCTGGTATCTGTATGCAAGTTTCAGTATAACCAAGGTATGGTAACTGCTGCCCATCTGCACACTCTATATCCAGCAAGGTTTTAATCTCCATTAATGGTGTCTGTATATGTTGGTTGAAGAAAGATTGGCTGACGGTTGAATCTGTTGAGCCGGTATCTAATAAGGCTGATATTTCCATACCATTTATATTCATCTTTACTTCTGTTGGCTGGCCAAAGAGTCCTGGTGGTGTCTTTACCTGACTGACTTTGGGAACCTTGCTGCTCTGTAAACCTATGGTTGTTCCCCCTGCATAGGCTTGTTGGAGTTTAAATGCTGTCGACTATGGTCCATTCTAACCTTGCATCCTATCTTCAGATGTTCTGTCTGTCCACATCTCCAGCATTGGTATTCTCTGTCTGGGTTATCTCTGCCTCCTCTATAGTTGTTCTGTCCTCTACCTCTATTTCCTCCTCTACCTCTATATTGTTTTGCTGTTGTCTAAACTGTGGTTGTTGTTGCCATGGTGATGACTGATTGGGTTGCTGCCATTGACGTTGCTGACTTGGTGGTTGCCATGGTGATGGTTGTGTAGGTTGTTGCTGATGGTTCCATGGTGCTTGCTCCCATCTTTTGTCATTCGAATCCAGTCTGGTATGGATCTGATTAATCAAACCTTTGATTTCTTGTAGACTTTCATCCTCAGGTTGGGTTGTAATAGCCTTGCTTATCTGTGTCTTGGTATCTGTTGGTAGTGTTTCACTTCTGCTGCTATGGTCGCTCTCTATCTGCCTTAAAGCTACCCGTAGTCCATCAAAATCTCCAATGGTATCACATTTATGTCCTGATATATCCTTCAGGTGTGGTTTCAATCCTGTCCAAATCATTGCATGAAGCATGTTATCCACATCCTGTCTGCGTACAAGTCCTCTATCTACTGCTTTTCCAATAATTCCTTCCAGTCTACAACTCCATGCTGTTACACTTTCTGTTGGTCGTTGTCTCGAACCATAAAACTCAGCTAAACGCTCTTCCTTCTTGTCGACGCTTCTATATATGCTATCTAATTTCTGGATTATATCCTTAACAGTTGCGTTGAGTTCCAACCTCATAGCTACAAGTCCTGCTTCCCCTCTTAATGATCTTCTTACTGCATTCAGTATAGCATCTTGCTCATAGTTCTGCTTCAGTAAACACTGGACTTCATGTCTCCATAATTCATATGTGGTATCGCCTGCCTTTGGTTCTGTTCCTTGTATCTTTGCTGGATGGTTCATCATCATCATGGTTGAAGATTTGGAGTAGGTTCAGGTTTCTGTTCCTTGAATGCTCCTTGTGAAATCAGATATTCCATCATCCAATTCTTCAAGTCCTCAAGGGTATCAGCTTTCGGTTTAGCTCCCATCTTTTCAAACATCTCGAAAGTCTTCATCATCTCAGCTGTAGGTGTTTTTGAACTTGTTGGCTGTTCAGTAACAATGTCTTCTTCCTTGAACTTATTAGCCATGTTGAGTAGAAATTCCAGTGTGAAAATCCAGAACAAAATCAAAATCAATCAGGCATTACTGAAAAAAAACAACTGTAAATATGCGCGTACAAAATATCCGAGTATAGCTATAAAGGTCGAATAATCAGCGTATAATAAGCAAATCAAAAGGTACGACAACTACGGATAATATATATTTATATCTAATATACTACTATAACTCACTGTATAAACTGTAATATACTATGCTATGCTCAAGTCCAAGTCTAATCTGTCCACTCAATACCAATGATCAGTCTAGGAAATACTCTAAGTACAGAAATATCAAAGACCAGGTAGTAGTAAAGTAAATCGAGATTACTAGCACTAACCTAAGACAAACTGTATAGCTGGCAGAAACAGTCTCAAAGATGGTAACTAATAGTACAGACAACTAACTAAGATCTCACTCAAGTGTAAGTGTACAATTGTTAGTAGGTATGTGTGCAGACATATGGATGGGTTCACATGCAAAGGAATAAAGGATGGTATCACCCATATAACATGCACTATAACTCTATCATATACCAAGATTCACACTAAGTTTTATCAAATGCAAACTTATTTATCACTTATAGTCAATAAATTAAAAAAATATACTAATATCAAATTTTTTCTAAGTCTGTGCTGAAAATTCTATGTAATAATCAACAATATAACTCAAACTAGACAACTAAATCAATATACATACTAATAAAAATGTCTAATAATTCTCATGTACATGTAACTAACATCACACCTCAACAGCATATACAAATAAATGTTGCGCAAAGTTACAACCTATGTGTTATGGTATAAATGACGAAAAAGAAAAAAAAATAATCGCACAAATGTTATGCGTGTATGTTATATGCAAGTGTGAATGTGTACGTAAAGTCTCTATATGTGAGGCTTTATCTCACAAAAGTGTATGCGTGTATGCGCTATAACCAAAAACAACTATTTCGTGTGACTAAATCAAATAAATTGCAAACTATTGCAAATCAGTGTATTGAAAATTCAATTTTTAATTTTCAAACAATCAATCAATAATAAGATGTCACAATGTGTATATAATATATAGAAGATGTGTATGTACTTCCGGTTGACCTTGACCTGTGTTGACCCAATTTGACCTCGAAGGGGGTTGGGGTTGTGGTCCGGTGATCAAGTATCAATCACAATGTAAAGTAAAAGTGTAAACATACATGTACATATAATCAATCAACACCAAGTGATGTTCACATGAACATTCAATGCTTGACAAGTGTCACCTATTCTAAAGTGTCTCTAATCTATGTGTAAATATTCAATAAAGTTACAAATGAAAAATCGTCAAAATTTTCAAAGACAATATTTTCAAATTTCTCAATAAATTCTGAATAAATCGCTACTCAATACCAATAGTCATGTGGTAAATATATATATGCATCAATTATAAGTGAAAAGTAACTTACAAATACAAGAATAAACACAAAATATCAGGTCCTTTCTTGAATAGAATTGTGCACAAATTTCCATGTGTTGTCTTCGTACTCGAGTACCGGATGTCGACCTGTCAACAATGGCCACACTCGGTTACAAATTCTAGAATACGCCGGCCGGAGATACGGTTTCACTATTTTCTCTTCCTTGGAATATTCCGGTCGGAGCCAACGGATCCTTTTCTATCTTGATGTTTTGTCGTGAATCCTTCACTATCCTCCAAAAAAGTGGGCGCCAAAATGTAGTCGCACTATCTGGGGCGTAAATAAATAGTAGACTATGTAGCGTTCTGGATAGTTTTTATTATCGAGAAGCATCAAATGAAACCCTGTAATATAATATCACATTTAATAACAACGTATATATACTAATTCTTTTAAAACATGTTTTATATCAATATGATAAATTTACGTAATCTGTATACTTACAAAAATTAACCAATTGACTGTAAAATACGTCACAGTTCATGAAATTAACAAAATGCACAATTAAACCTTATCTTATCAAAATATTACTTCCTGTGACATTCGAAACAGAATTTAACTTGTCAAAAGAGCAAAATAGAAATATAGTTTCTCATTTAGCAATAACATTATAATATACGAATTAGCCGTTAAAACTATAAACAAACAGTCTAAGCAAAATAAGCATTAATAAAGCCAATAGCGAAAAGCAGTTAACTAATAAAGCTAAGCTAAGCTAAACAAAGCAAAATAACTAAGCTCATAAAATAATAAGCAACTACAACTGAAACACTCATTCTTACCTCGTATGAGGTACAAAGGTTATGCCTCAACGTATTACTACATCATATGCAGAACTCTGTCATAAAACCTGTATAACAAATACTAAATTATAGTTACTATGCACAGACTTTTATAGTACTTAAAATCTATTAATCTGAGACAAAAATGTTATAAAGACTCTGAAAAGTATTTATCAAGTTAACATTTTACTCATTTACTCTCGGACTCATTCTGCTCAAATATTCGCCATTCGTTACGTTTATCTTTACACTTATTTATTTCCAGGCTTTATTTATGTAACTCAAATGTAAAATAATAATGTGCCTGTCATAAAAGTTACGTTAACCATTTAAATAATTTACAACATTCATTCACCAATCAAACGATACACATTCTTACTACGAAGTCATGCTAAAATGGAAAGTTACTCGTGCGTGAAATACTGATTAATCCGGTAATAAAATTACGATGAAAATAAGATATACAGAATATCTAAAGTGATAAGTAAGCAAACTGACCTGAAATAATCGTGGAATTCCTTCAGTACAAATAATACAAAATATGAGACAGCAAATAAAGACTGAAGAAAATATATCAAACGGCTGTTCGGTTTGAACATCAATCCACAATTAACTATAGACTTCAATAGAAATAAACCGCCAAAAGATATATAACCAATGAAATAGTAGAAAGTGTGCGGTCAAATCAAGCGTAAAACAATGACCATCAAAATAGTAGAAGTGAGTAACAATCAAAACGACACTAGTCAATCGTCAAAGTCTGTGAATATAAAATACGAATAGTACAACTCATAATTAATTACAATTCGTAATTTATCTATTTGAAAACGAAAACACAAATATGAATTAGGAATAAAATCATCTTTATTTTAAAGTAAATTCAAATAAGAAATAAAATACAAATTACAAAATCATATCAATATTTATTCAATCATGAATAAATACACGCTTACCTAGCACATTTGGAATCGAAACGGTATTTGGAAAGCCATACAATTTACCTCAATTTAGGATAGACTCTTGAATTTCGAGGAGTCAAAATAGAATGAACGGATCATATAAACCCGAAGGCAAATATAATACAAGCCCAAACGAAAACATATAAACAAGTCTAAATTGCAAACAACGTTCAAACCTATGATTGCGTTGGATAAAAACCGCAATTTTTATACGTGTACATGCAAAACAAATTTCTTGTTAGAGGGGTCTAAGTACAGCACAAACAACATTTTCAAAAGACCAAAAAAGTGAAAAAGTATATTTTAACAAAACGCATTTGACTAAAGGTCGAACAACAAATTTCTTAAACCCTGCTGACTGCCATTAGCGATTGCCAAATAAACGGATCACCGATGTAATAAATGGATCTTAATCATAAATTTATTACAAAACAGAAAACAATAAACTTGCGAAAAAGATGGTATACCGCTAACAAAAGGTGCAAAGGTTTTTGTACAACATATCCGTATTTCGACAATTAATGTCTCTTCAGTGATGTTAGGAATCGAAACGGTATTTGGAAAGCCATACAATTTACGTCAATTTAGGATAGACTCTTGAATTTTGAGGAGTCAAAATAGGATGAACGGATCATATAAAACCGAAGGCAAATATAATACAAGCCCAAACGAAAAAATATAAAGTCTAAATTGAAAAGAACGTTCAAACCTATGATTGCGTTGGATAAAAACCGCAATTTTTATACGTGTACATGCAAAACAAATTTCTTGTTAGAGGGGTCTAAGTACAGCACAAACAACATTTTCAAAAGACCAAAAAAGTGATAAAGTATATTTTAACAAAACGCTTTTGACTAAAGGTCGAACAACAAATTTCTTAAACCCTGCTGACTGTCATTAGCGATTGCCAAATAAACGGATCACCGATGTAATAAATGGATCTTAATCATAAATTTATTACAAAACAGAAAACAATAAACTTGCGAAAAAGATGGTATACCGCTAACAAAAGGTGCAAAGGTTTTTGTACAACATATCCGGATTTCGACAATTAATGTCTCTTCAGTGATGTTAGGAATCGAAACGGTATTTGGAAAGCCATACAATTTACGTCAATTTAGGATAGACTCTTGAATTTTGAGGAGTCAAAATAGGATGAACGGATCATATAAAACCGAAGGCAAATATAATACAAGCCCAAACGAAAAAATATAAAGTCTAAATTGAAAAGAACGTTCAAACCTATGATTGCGTTGGATAAAAACCGCAATTTTTATACGTGTACATGCAAAACAAATTTCTTGTTAGAGGGGTCTAAGTACAGCACAAACAACATTTTCAAAAGACCAAAAAAGTGAAAAAGTATATTTTAACAAAACGCATTTGACTAAAGGTCGAACAACAAATTTCTTAAACCCTGCTGACTGCCATTAGCGATTGCCAAATAAACGGATCACCGATGTAATAAATGGATCTTAATTATAAATTTATTACAAAACAGAAAACAATAAACTTGCGAAATAGATGGTATACCGCTATTATTTTTATAATTATTTAAATGGTTAACGTAACTTTTATGACAGGCACATTATTATTTTACATTTGAGTTACATAATTAAAGCCTGGAAATAAATAAGTGTAAAGATAAACGTAACGAATGGCGAATATTTGAGCAGAATGAGTCCGAGAGTAAATGAGTAAAATGTTAACTTGATAAATACTTTTCAGAGTCTTTATAACATTTTTGTCTCAGATTAATAGATTTTAAGTACTATAAAAGTCTGTGCATAGTAACTATAATTTAGTATCAATTATACAGGTTTTATGACAGAGTTCTGCATATGATGTAGTAATACGTTGAGGCATAACCTTTGTACCTCATACGAGGTAAGAATGAGTGTTTCAGTTGTAGTTGCTTATTATTTTATGAGCTTAGTTATTTTGCTTTGTTTAGCTTAGCTTAGCTTTATTAGTTAACTGCTTTTCGCTATTGGCTTTATTAATGCTTATTTTGCTTAGACTGTTTGTTTATAGTTTTAACGGCTAATTCGTATATTATAATGTTATTGCTAAATGAGAAACTATATTTCTATTTTGCTCTTTTGACAAGTTAAATTCTGTTTCGAATGTCACAGGAAGTAATATTTTGATAAGATAAGGTTTAATTGTGCATTTTGTTAATTTCATGAACTGTGACGTATTTTACAGTCAATTGGTTAATTTTTGTAAGTATACAGATTACGTAAATTTATCATATTGATATAAAACATGTTTTAAAAGAATTAGTATATATACGTTGTTATTAAATGTGATATTATATTACAGGGTTTCATTTGATGCTTCTCGATAATAAAAACTATCCAGAACGCTACATAGTCTACTATTTATTTACGCCCCAGATAGTGCGACTACATTTTGGCGCCCACTTTTTTGGAGGATAGTGAAGGATTCACGACAAAACATCAAGATAGAAAAGGATCCGTTGGCTCCGACCGGAATATTCCAAGGAAGAGAAAATAGTGAAACCGTATCTCCGGCCGGCGTATTCTAGAATTTGTAACCGAGTGTGGCCAATTAATGTCTCTTCAGTGATGTTAGGAATCGAAACGGTATTTGGAAAGCCATACAATTTACGTCAATTTAGGATAGACTCTTGAATTTTGAGGAGTCAAAATAGGATGAACGGATCATATAAAACCGAAGGCAAATATAATACAAGCCCAAACGAAAAAATATAAAGTCTAAATTGAAAAGAACGTTCAAACCTATGATTGCGTTGGATAAAAACCGCAATTTTTATACGTGTACATGCAAAACAAATTTCTTGTTAGAGGGGTCTAAGTACAGCACAAACAACATTTTCAAAAGACCAAAAAAGTGAAAAAGTATATTTTAACAAAACGCATTTGACTAAAGGTCGAACAACAAATTTCTTAAACCCTGCTGACTGCCATTAGCGATTGCCAAATAAACGGATCACCGATGTAATAAATGGATCTTAATTATAAATTTATTACAAAACAGAAAACAATAAACTTGCGAAAAAGATGGTATACCGCTAACAAAAGGTGCAAAGGTTTTTGTACACCATATCCGGATTTCGACAATTAATGTCTCTTCAGTGATGTTAGGAATCGAAACGGTATTTGGAAAGCCATACAATTTACGTCAATTTAGGATAGACACTTGAATTTTGAGGAGTCAAAATAGGATGAACGGATCATATAAACCCGAAGGCAAATATAATACAAGCCCAAACGAAAAAATATAAAGTCTAAATTGAAAAGAACGTTCAAACCTATGATTGCGTTGGATAAAAACTGCAATTTTTATACGTGTACATGCAAAACAAATTTCTTTTCAGAGGCGTCTAAATACTGCACAAACAACATTTTCCAAAAGACCAAAAAAGTAAAAAAGTATATTTTAACAAAACGCATTTGACTAACAGGTCGAACAGCAAATGTTCTTAAACCCTGTTGACTGCCATTGGCGATTGCCAAATAAACGGATCACCGATGTAATAAATTGCCGTTTATTTGGCAATCGCCAATGGCAGTCAGCAGGGTTAAAGAACATTTGCTGTTCGACCTGTTAGTCAAATGCGTTTTGTTAAAATATACTTTTTCACTTTTTTGGTCTTTTGGAAAATGTTGTTTGTGCTGTATTTAGAACCCTCTAACAAGAAATTTGTTTTGCATGCACACGTATAAAAATTGCGGTTTTTATCCAACGCAATCATAGGTTTGAAATTAACGTTGTATTCAATTTAGACTTGTTTATATTTTTGCGTTTGGGCTTGTATTATATTTGCCTTCGGGTTTATATGATCCGTTCATCCTATTTTGACCTTCAAAATTCAAGAGTCTATCTGAATTGAGGTAAATTGTATGGCTTTCCAAATACCGTTTCGATTCCTTACATCACTGAAGAGACATTAATTGTCGAAATCCGGATATGGTGTACAAAAACCTTTGCACCTTTGTTAGCGGTATACCATCTTTTCCGCAAGTTTATTGTTTTCTGTTAAGTATTAAATTTACAATTAAGATCCATTTATTACATCGGTGATCCGTTTATTTGGCAATCGCCAATGGCTGTCAACAGGGTTTCAGAACATTTGCTGTTCGACCTGTTAGGCAAATGCGTTTTGTTAAAATATTCTTTTTCACTTTTTTGGTCTTTTGGAAAATGTTGTTTATGCTGTATTTAGACCCCTCTAACAAGAAATTTGTTTTGCATGTACACGTATAAAAATTGCGGTTTT